AGGGGAGGGGAGGGAAAAGAGAGGGGGAGGGAAAGCTTTCATACTATGGAGGAAGAAATACAACTGAGGAACCAATAGGATCTGAACTGACTATATCCATTAGCTCATACCCATTTTGCCCAATCACATGTCTACCCACTGTTTCTACTTCACTGAACTCAAGTATACAAAAATAGTTCATCCTGGGCCTTTGGACTCTTCAATCTGAAGGCTCCCAGGTCACATAAAACTGCTCAAAGAGGTCTGTTATGTTTTTCTCTCATTAATGTGCCTATTGTGATGAGAGTATAGGCCACAACCCTTTATGGTGAGCGAATTGGCAGCAAACCATGGTGTCATTCACTTGGTGCTAGTTTTATGGGCATGCAGAACGCAAGAGTTATGGGTCAGGGAGGCCTCCACCCAGATTTCAAAAGAAGGCCTAGAAGGGCAGGCAGTGTGCCCCTGAGAGCCCCATTCATGAAAATGAATGTGGAGATCCCAGAAAGTGGTGAAGCCAGGAATATGACCATATGAGAAAAGCTGCGGGCAGTGAGCAGAGCCAACTCAAAAGGGAGACCATGAAGGCTGTAATCCATAGAGGAACAGCCACCCAAACCCTTAGGACTCACATCTGGCCACCATTTTTCCTGGGTGCTTGACACAAAGCTATGGGATTTCATGTTTGCCATGCTGGGTTCAGGACTCATTTTGGTTCCATTCCTTTCTATCTTGCTATTTCTTCCTTTTGGAACAGCAATGTTTACCCTGTGTCATTGTATGTTGGCTATGCTTAACTTTCCTTTTGAGTTTTACAGTGGCTCACAGATAAGTTTGCCTTCAGTCTCAGAGAAGACTCTGGATTTGGATTTTTCAGAAATGCTAGAATTATTAAAACTTTAGTGACTCTTACAGATGGCTAAATACATTTTTCATAAAGAGATGTGGAAGGGGCTAAGGATATAGCTCAGTACTACAGTGCTTTCATATCATGTACAAGGTCCCGGGTTCAATCCTTAGCAACACACACAAGCACATGCAAAGAACAGAGCAACGTACATGAGTCTTTTGGAGGCCAGGGTGGAATGTTAGATTTTGGACCAAGAATGTACCCAAAGGCCTCGTGTACATATTGGTGGGGCTTGTGGGACATGACCGGATCACGGAAACACTACTTATCATTTCCCAGATCGTTTACTGGAATCACTTACTGATGAGTTCAGCAGCTGAGTATGCTGTTGGAGCGTGCTCTCTGACTGGAAGAAGCAGGTCACTGAAGTACAGTGTATCTCCCTTGCTGGCTCGCTCCTTCCTTCACTCTCCCTGCTTCCTGGCTATACTGATCCTTACACCAAGCTGTTTCGTGTTTAGGCCTTCTGAACATGGACTGAAACTTCTGAAACCATAAGCCAAAATAAACCTTCCCTCCTCTGAGTTGCAGGTGTCAGATATTTTACCCCAGTGATGAGGAAAGTGACTTAAGACATATGTATTTATATAAATATGTTTATATAAAATAAAATTTTCCAAGTTATAAATAAATTAAAGTTTTAAAAGAAATCAAGTCAGTTTAAAAGTTAAAATTATAATACACTTAATCCATTAAGTCTAGAGTTTAGAAAAATTTCTATATCTTTTTCATGAAAGAAATGTACGAACTGTACCCTTGATTGTACTCCTACAAATAGGACATTTTCTTAAAGAAGGGGCACAATCTTTGCACACTACTAGATGACCACAAGGAACAAACACTATGGACACCTCTTTGTCCATACACACTTTACATGTTCTTTCTTCTTGTAGTCTCCTCAACTGTTCTTCCATTGGTAGATCTAAGAAAAGAATTTTTTATTATTTTATTTTATTTTATTAGTACATGAATGTAGTACATAATGTTTATATTCTTGGTGTGAAGTTGGTACATATATTTAACACATACTAATTCCTTTTTCTCTTTTTTTTTTTGGTCCCTTATCCCTTCCTCCACCCCTTGATCCTCTTCCCTTGGGAACAATACATCTCCCTACTTCCTATTACCTTTTATTTTGCTCTTTATGTTTACTCTGGGTTTCTCATATAAAAGAAACAATGTGATGCTTAAGCTCTATGTCTGATTTATTTCACTTAACATTATAGTCATAAGGTGCATTCATTCACTTTCCTACAAATGACTCAAGTTTATCTTTCTTTATGGCAGAGTGTAGTACTCCATGGTACGTAAATACCACATGAAAATAGAATTTTTAATAAAAAGCAATTTTCTTTTTCTTAAGTGAAAAATAAAATATAAAACTAATGTTTTCTACTGGTTTAAAGTGTTAATACTATTACCTGATATATCTTCTGTGAGAAGATATTTTATGTCTTGTTGCACTAAAAGGAAAAAACAGAAGTATTACAATGGTGAATAAGGTTATTATTTAGCCACAGACTGTGTATTTTAAACAAAAAATATATTGAGAGCCTGGCAAACTGTAAATAAACAAAAAATTTTAAGGAAACCCAATCAATATAAAAGTTAAAATTATGATATACCTAATCCATTAATTTTAAATAGATTCTAAAAGCCTTATATACCAGCACTGTGGGAGGCTGAGGCATGAGGTTCACAAGTTCAAGTCCAGTTTGGTCAACCTCAAGAAATAATGAAACTGTTTCAAAATTAAAAATAAAATAGGGCTGGGATGTAGCTCAGTGTGAAGGCACTGGGTTCAATCTCTGCCCCCGCAAACACATATTTGGCCAAAACTCACAATTTTAAGGCAACAAAAGCCTCTATTTTTGTATAAACATTTATAAATTAGATCAGGTTATTTTCTATAATCACCAATTATTTATGAGTATATTTTCAATTGTCCTAGAAAGTTTCCAAAATAATTTTCTTGCACTCACCAAATAAATGCTTGTATAACTTTGGGTCCATATCTTGTAAAGAGTTTTTGAATATGGTGGCAGCAATATTTCCTTTTGCTAAAATAGTATCAATGAGTTCTCTTGCTTGTAAAGATGTCTGTGTTTTCTGTTTGATAACATCATGTTCTTGTTCATTAATCACTCTCGCAATTAGCAGACTGTTCAAGATTGGAATTACACAAGTCAAATGTTGAAAAAGTATCATTCTATTCTTCCGGATTAATGATAGATCTTCTGTATTAAAAAAAAAAAGAAAAAAAGAAAGAAAGAAAGGAAACCAAATACAAACATGTTCAAAGTGCTTGTAAACTTCTTTCCACACCAACATACACAAACAAATGAAAAACATCTTCAATTCACAATCAAGCCCTGATGTTGGCTGTTAGACTTGAGGATACCTGCTTCTGTGTACCTAGTAATAATGTTAAGTATGAGGACTAACACTGCCTAAACACTTACTTGTGTTACATATTTTGCATGTCTCTCCACATTTCATATGTATTTTCACAACAACCCTTTGAAGTAGGTACTAATTCCCCTCATTTAACAGATAAGGAAGTAAAGCTACTGTAAGACAAGTTGCCAAAGGACACAACATTAACAAAACTCAGTCTGAGGCAGACCAGGGTCATGATCTTCACTGTAACCATTCTGTAGTGCCTACGCCTAAACCATGGACCAAATGAAAGTTAGAGTTTAATCAAACTGAAATTTTAATCCAATCTAATGAAATTGGGGAAATGTAAAATCAAGAGAATTAAAAATATTTTCCATAAATTCTTCTACAAATTTCTGTTTTAATTCTTCTTTGAGTTGAAATTTTAATTATTTCCCTAGACCAGACATCTTGCCATTTCCTAAATAATTAATAGTAAGAACAGAAAGGTACTAACCACGTTTTGAACAATATACTGTTTGTCAATGGCTACCTTCCTGTCCTATTGGATCTCCTTATTCTTCTTCAAGACCTAGATTTGTGTCTACTGGCAAAAAAGTTTATATTTTGAAACTATTATTTAATACCTATGTTTATTAATTGTCATATAGTTCACCATGAGCCATTAAGCTATTACTTTAGGTATTTTTGGTTTGTTTGTTTGGTACTGGGGATCAAACTCTGGTCTCCTCACTTGCAAGGCAGGTGGCAGCACCACTGAGCTAAATCCCCAGTCCTATTTCTATAGTTTTGACCTTTGACTTTCTACCACAATGTTATTTCTGTAATTTAATAAGAGAAATGGGGCTGACTGAAAAAGAACTACTTTGGGAGATTGTTAGGTTTTAGATATACTTTGTCTAGTAATACAGAACTATCTCAAAAGGGGGAAAAGTGGTGTTTGGTCAAAAAGTCAAGGCCAGAGATATGTTTTGAAGATAACTAAAACTCTGAGAATAACTGAGAAAAGGACTAGGACCTAGAATGGTGCTTGGCATAAAAACAAGGCTCTATAAATAACTGTTCGAAAAAAAAGGCAAGCCTCAGTAATTTAAAGAGTAGTAAAAGTTATATCCATAGACATAGACTATTCAGAACAACATATGCTGTCAAATTATTTACATTAGAGAAGTAGTAATACTGTACATTCAAAAAATATGACTTATAGTTGGTGTTGAAATATATTAGCTTTTCAATCTAAGATTTATTTTTCTAATTATGTTTTGTTTAACCTAATTGTTTTGCTTTGTTTTGTTTTGGTGGTAAGGATCTGACCCAGTGACTCAAGTATGTTAGGCATGTACCTTACTACTGAGCTGTACCTCAGCCCCTCTGAAATTCATACAATTTGATTGCGAGGAGCTGGGAAAAGACTCATTTTTAAGTCATAGACTGTATTGTGACTTACAAGTTATAACAATTTGACTGTATCTTTGAAGTGTATCATTATTTTATTCTGGAAAAATAGTGCCTTTATTTATACACCTGTCAAGAAATCAACCACCCTTTGTTCTTGGGAAACTATGATGTAATCGTTAACCTAAATCATTCACTCATCAAACAGCATTTCTTGAGCACAGACTATGTATAGACAGTATGTCAGGTAGAAGAGGTAGAGGCTGAGACAGAGACACTGAGAGATCTCTTTGACAATATAAGTCGGGCATATTATTGACTTAGAACCAATCATCTCTGGAGACTTGATTGATTTTCTATGAAAGAATATAAATATTTATATTGGTGGATGGTTTTAGATTTTGTACTCTCTCTGCAAATGTGAAGGTGAATGTTTTCTTTGAGCAATTGTTGGCTGACAACCAATGGCTAAGACTGAGAAGATGCTAGGAAGAATGTATTACCTAATCTTTACAGTGAAAAGGAAAACTTGACTAGGCTGAGCAAGGATTAACTTGATTGGCTGCTGTACTGGAGGAATATAAAAGTGAGTAATTTATACTCTAGCAAATGTATGATGTTATATTACGTGTTCTGGCACATTTCTCTTTAAGGGCTGAAGAGGTTTATCCTTGGATAGAGTGGACAGTCTGACTGTCAATTATTCCAGGAATGGATCCCAGATGACCTTGGACAAAGATAAGGGCAAACTTTCTCCTCTTTCTTGGAGGCCTGAGCTTTGATAAGGGTACTATATTTGGGACTTTCTTAACCATTTGTGTAAACTGGTCACAGCTACACAGAGATAAATCAAAAGCTATGTAGAAAAATTTAGGAGGCTGGGCCTGGAGACATCAAGAGAAATCAACACCTACTTTGAATTGTAAATTGTCATCTGTGATATAGTTTCCCTGTTACCTGTAAATCTTCTGTGAGAACTGGTTAAAAGAGGCAGTATATTTTCAGCTACATTGAAGGGATTTGGGGGGTTTGGTCCATGTTTGGGCAAGAGTGACAGAGAGATCAGCATTTCTCTTTGTCTAGGCCAGAGTGGTAACAAAAGTCAGAGCACCCAGATGGCAATGGGCCTGCCAGAGGGAGAGATTCTGCACAGAGGAACAGAGTGTGGAGCAGCAGATGGCTAATGTGGAAAGACATGGTCAACTTATCCTGACACAACGTAACACAGAACTCTAGGATTTAACTGAAAAAACACTGAGAAGGAACTCATTTCTGGTGTGAGCAGGTAGAGGACTTAATCATGATTGGTGCATTAATTTATAATCAAAGACTGAAAATATTATTTTGCTAATATTAAAATTAATAATTTCCCTGACTTCATTCTAATTTAAAACATAAGGTGTGAGGAACTAGCCCAGAATAAAAAATGAGCCATGAGTAATTGCATACAAAGCCAACTGGCCAGACTAAAAAATATGAACTAAAGAAAAAAGGAAACATTACTTTCAATGTACACATTTTCAAGATAATGAGAAACTCCAATAGATTTTAACGTGAAGAAATTTTCAGAATTTGAATTCACAATGATAAATGTAAGAAAAATCTGACTCACTGATGAGCACATTTTCAGGAACTTACATAGAGTGATCATCGTTATGGAAAGAAAAACTATATTTATAAATATACAGACCTGATTCTTTTCCCTCATTCGCTCTTTCTTTTGCCTCTTCCCTTATTTCATCCTCTGCATTAAGTAAATCTAACACGAGATTGCTGATGGTGTTATAATTGTCTCCAGTGCTTAGGATTTTACTCTGAACTGTCTGTTTTACCAGGCGTCTACTAAAGCCCATTTCCAAAGCAGCTTTGACCACAGGTGTGTTCATCATGACTGCATCTTCTGACTGGTTCTCTCCAGGTCCAAAATGAACGACTATATGGAACACAGAATTTGATACATGTTAGGATAGTCTGTACATTTTTAAAACTGAAAATTACTACAATATAAAAAAGAAGAAAATAAATACATACTACTTTATACCAATTTTGTTAAATTTAAAATGCTATATATATTCCACCACTAAAATAAGAATGTGAAACAATGTATTTAGATTAAAATATGCATTATCTGCTATTACTGGATAGGCATACGAGAGAAGGAGAAAGAAACACAATGTCAGGGATCATCTCCCATTAGAACTGAGACTCATTTTCCCTACACTGAATGAACAAATGAACTTTCTAAGTCAGATATGTATTTTCACATATTTTTGAAAGAGGCCATTGCCATTGTTCACCTCTGTTACTGCAATGGCCTCCTACAATATTGCTCCCTTCCAGCTCATTCTCAACACTGCATTCAGGGACTTTAAAAATCAGATCGTGTCAGATTCCTTAAATTGCATCAGATTCCACTGTGCTAGGATATAATTCAAAGATTTTGCCTGTTTGTTTATCTGTTTGTGATACTGGGGATTGAACACAGGCCCTGGTTCATGTTATGCAAATACTCTACCATTAGGCTACATACTTTCCTCTTTTTATTTTTTTTTTAGGGTTTTTGTTTTTGTTTGGTTCTTTTGTGGGGTGGGGTTGCGATAGGGTCTCGCTTTGTGATTCAGGCTGATTTTGAATTCATTATGTAGCCCAGGCTGGCCTCAAACTCAGTGATCCTTCTTCCTCAGCCTCCCAAGTGCTGCGATCACAAGTGTATGCCAACATACCTGGTGCTGTTTATATTTTATTTGAGACAGGGTCTCACTAGATTTTCCATGCTATCTTCAAATCTGTGATCTTCAGTACTCAGCTGCCTGAGTAGCTGGAATATTGGTGCTCACCACCATGCCCAGCTGTGATCAAAAATTTAATTGGGGCTTATAAATTCTCCTACTGTCTGGACCTTGTTTACCTCGTCAGCCTCCTCTCTCGCTCTTATTTGCATCCTGCCTTCCAACCCAGAAGTCACATGCTGATGCTTCTTGTGTCAAATTCTGCCCGTGGTGCTGACCAGTCTTATAGCTAGCCTGCTTCACACGTTTATGTATTTGCAACTCTTGCTCTGTCCATACAGAATTTTGTTCATTTCATCCAATGTGCCTATTCTATGTCACTTAGGCCTTTCACATACTGCTCCCTGTGCCTGGAAAGTATTTCTCCTCCCCTTGTCATTTGATTGGGTCCTCTTCCCTTGGGCTCTCTGCTAAGGCAAGTACTTCCTTCAGAAAGCCTTTGCTGATCCTCCAGTTCTGTGTTAATATCTCTCATGAACTGTCATAGCTCACTTTACTGTCCCTACCAGATCCCTTTTATTGGTGTATTTATAAGTATCCCTACGATTATTAGCTCATGAGAGCAGAAGTTATGCATATCCTGTTTTCTTTCCTCAGAACAGCTAAAATACAATAAATATTTACTGACTTGAATCACATACTAAAAATGGGGTACTGTGCCTGCCTGGCAAGTGCAAGGTCCTGAGTTTGATTTCTGGTACGCCCAAAAAAAGGAATAGAAACACTCGTTTAATATTTGCTTTATCTCCTTTTAGGTTTATGATAATAAACAAAGCTCTTAACCTCTCTGAGCCTATTAATTCAATAGTTTTCCTATTAAAGAATGGAAAGAGTATTTTCTACCTTCTCCATTCCAGAGGAAAAAAAATGTAAGCAATCTAATGTCACAGTACATCTATTCCCACATTGGTTTAAGGACAAGGGTTAGGCTAGACGCACGTTGTTTGTTAAAATTACAGATGCCCAAGGTTGGGACTATAGCCCATGGTTAAATGCCCAGGAACCACCCCCAAAAGCACTACAAATACTCAAGCCCCATCCCTTTGTACCTGGATTGAATTCAGTAGCTCTGAAGCTTAAACTGGAAATCTGCACTATTTTTTAAAGTTCTCCAGGCAACTCTGATATGCAATGAAGTTTAAGTACATTTGAAAATGCATTGTAAATTACAGATCAACACAAATATACATTATTAGCACCTTTCAATCTTAGCAATACCAAATAGTTCTATTTCAATGCAGTAGTAATTATTATCCTTTGTACATACTTGACGACTCTGCATATTCATCTTCTGGGGTGTCTGATGTGGACAATAGCTACAGAAAAAAATATATGTAAGTTAAAATATAAACTCTGTCCTGACCATTACAATAAAATGAGTGAGCAAGCTTATTTTATTCAATTATTTACAAACTGACATGCTTTCTGGCAGTTGTTTTTAATCAAAAGTAGTAGTTCATTTACATTCGCAGGTTATTTCCTAGAACATAAGCTAACAGGTTGTGTGTGTGTGTGTGAAGGCAGAAAAAGGGCTACAGCTTTTCAGTCATCTCTGAGATGGTCAGTTTGCCTTTTATCCAGTTTATGTCACCTGTGTTACCCTTTGGGCCATTATATGGATTCTACTGACCATGGTTAGGAAGTTTTTGATCTTCAATTTATTATATGTTTTTATTTTTTTTCTTTCTTTTCATTTCATTTATTCATTTATTTCATTTCTCTTTCTTAAATCTTTTAAATAAAATTTTATATAATAAAGCTATTAAATGCTACTATCCCAACTTACTATTTCCTCAAATAGTTTAAATATCAAAACTTAATTGCAAAAATTCTTGAATTTCACAGAAAATAGTATTTTTCAGGAGGTTACTAATAATCTATTTTTCTCAGAAAAATAGTACCTTCTAGGATCATGTTAAGTTTTGTGAAAAAAGAAAATATGACTTTTGTGTTTTTAAAATATCTTTTATTTTTTCACTAAAACACTGCTTTGTAATTAACAAAAAATAATTTCTTTTGTTGATAACCAATGATATTGAAAAAAACCTTCCGTTCTCTACCTGTTCAAGCAGATGAGGGTAACTGGCTTGAACTTGACTGATGAATTCTTGTCCTTTAATTCTTATCAAATACTCACACCTAAAATGTAAATAAAATAAATTATAAAGGGTTATTTTATAAAAGCAAAATAAGAATAACAAATTCCTCATCTGTGCCTCACCCATTTGAATCTGAGTAAGTGTCTCAAATCACAGAACCATTTGGAATCACTGATTCTAAACTCAGACTAAATAATCCTAGTCCTGTGGTAACTCTATGCTATTTTTTTAACTTTTTTTTTTTTTTTGTAAAATTAACCTATAAAACATCCCTTAATAGGATTCAAATTGTTTTGAGTATGAATTTTTAAATTTGTTCTTTAATGTACTACCTGTTGCAGTTAACATGAATTAAACTTACTATAAGCACTTTTCTCATCTGGTTTGAATGTTTTACAAAATTAGTTTTTTATTATGTTATATTTTCAGGCATATATCTTGCTTCAGCTAAGTTTTGAAAAGCCCTAAATTTTTATCTTTATCAGAACAGAGCACATCTAGTCATCTGTAAAGCGGTAAATATTTCAAATGAGTGTAAAGTGCGTACAGCCACTTTTGTCTTCATTCAGCCCGAGGGAGTGGTAAGAGACACTGCAGAGAAGGCAAACGGATACGGGCAAGGAGGGCATGACTGACTAGCATCTTCCAAGGCTGAAGTGGGCGTCAGGAACCTCGCAGCCTACTTACTGCGGTCAAGTAAGGCTGTCTCCACTTAAGACTCCTCATTGTTCTCTTCAGTTAGTCTACGATTTTAAAAAATACCTAATACGCGTCTTAAAAACAGAACATAGAGACAGAAAGTTCTCTAAATAAGTGATTCAGCTCATATTCATGACAGTCTTAAAAGCTGAAAATATACAAAGAAGAATAGCGGGAAAGAATGAAGAAACCGAAGACATCCTCCAATGTTGGAGAGTCACAAGTTTTTCAATTCCTAGAAACTATGCACCCATTATCAAATTTAAGGACAAAATTTATTAATTACACCACTAAAGCAAATTTACTATTCTTTCTGTATATCCTCAAAACTACCCAAATGGAAATAAATTTTTAAAACCCATACACACAATCCATATAATCTTTACAGTTTAAAAACTTCACAAAAGGTAGGGAGCTCAGAGTTGCTATAAATGAAAATAATGTTCTACATATAAAAGTGTATAATGAAAATGTTAGAATAGTGAGTTTGGTAATCCACATTCAATAATACTAAAAGTTTTGACTATGAAAAGGATAATTTTAGGTGACCTGTCTTAGATGAAATTGGAGAGCATTCAAGAGTGAAGAATAATCAAAAAGACACAGTAAAATGCTGTGTAGTAATTAAAACAGATGAGATGTATTGATATTTATTTAGTATTACAACTTGCTTTGAACACCTCTCCCTCACTCTATTCTCCTTCTTTTCCCTCAGTGCTTCCAATTGAATCCCCAGCCAATATCCTATCATTGAGCTACACAAGTCACAATCCTCTTTTTTCTTTTCTTTTTGTGGGGGGCATCGATCTCAGGACCCTGCACTTGCAAGGCAGGCATAGTGCCACTGAGCCAACTCTCTGGCTCCTCTTTTGTCTTTTTATTCAGGATACTTATTATCTTCCAAATGCTATATAATTTATTAAGTTGTTAATTGTCAGGCCTTTTCTGCTATAAAAAGAGATTATGAAACCTGAGGGTCTTTGCTTTGTTCAACTCAATATTTTATAAGCCCCTTAGAACAGTGCCTGGCAATCCATTAAAGAAAACTGAATGACTATTGAATGAAATATGTCCCAGATAGATATTGACTGAAAATGAGTCTAAAACTATTTATAACATTTAAATGAGTTTGATTTACTACTAGTCCTACTACTATGTAAAATTATATACATTTCCATATATATATTTTTTTTAAATATATTTGGAGGGATGGATGCTAGTCACTGGACATTTGAATTTTCTTTCTTTGTACTCTTTTACAATGTGTGACTTTTTATGAGTATGTATTATTTTTAAAATACATTTCTAAAAAATTAAAAATAACCCAATCCTATTTATTCTTTACCTTAAATCCACCAAAAACCTTTCAAATTATAATTTTTCTAAGTAACCTGATCTAAACTGACTCACAAATGTATCTTTGGAACAAAGAAAAATCTAACAGCTGATTGTAAGGTAAACACAGAAAACCCACATGACGATAACAGAAAGTATGCAAAGAAACCTGCAAAACAATTACCTTGGAAACCACTTGGCATGTTCTACCCACGGATCATCTCCGAATTCCCAACACCTCAGTCCACCATCACAGCAAAAGCACTTGACATCATCGCTATGACCTAAAATTAATGTTACACCAAAGCTTATGAATACATATAATCTGTCCACTAAAATATATAAAACACTTTGAATTGTTTAAATTATCAAATTAAGTTTCTTACCCACATAATAAAAACCTGCACTTGCAAGCTGTTCAGGATGAACTAGAACCCTTGAAGGCCAGTTAAAGAAGGTTTTCAAGCGGGCTGCCTGGGTCTGCATACTTAAATTAGAAACAGTGTATCTGGAAGTATTTTGAAGCTGGTTTTCTACAAAAGGGCAGTTGGGAAAATGTCTCTGGTGTTCTGACATCGCATCATCTTTAGGTTCCCAATTGCTCAGTTTTCCACCACATGCAAAGCAAGCTACTCTGTCCCCAGGTCCTATGTAGTAAAAGCCTGCTTTGGCCAGATCTGTTGGTAACAGAAAAGTCAATGGCCACATCTGATAAGTTAGTAATCTGGCTTTTTCATTACTCATTGCACAGTTGTAAGGACTTGTCCTCAAGGCAGAAAAATCTTGATTTGCTCTGAAGTTTACAGGACTTGATGGAAAGCTTGAATAAGAGCCACTGAAATAGCCACTATTTTCCAAACTTGGAAGCGATGAACGTGTGAAATTTGTTACTGAAGAAGAAAAGAAAGGCTGGGAGGTAGCTTCCAAACTGTTAACTGAAGTTAGCTTCTGAACAAAGATGCAGCTGGGATATAACTTTTTATGCTTTTCAATAGGATTGTCTCCTTGTTTCCAGTTATCCAGCATCAGGCCACAACAGAAGCATTTGACCTTGTCTTTCACATCAGTGTAATAGAAACCAGCACGAGCAAGACTCCTTTCTGAGACAGGAACACCAGCGGGGAAAGTTGAATATGTGGACATTCTGTAGAGTTCACATGAAAAGTCATACTTCAACTCAAACGTGTTGGCACTTTTCATCAAGTTTGATAAGAAGGGGCTATTTTCTACTATATTCATAATAAAGTGGATGGGGAGGAAAAGGGACCAGTCTTTCTCTGGGGAGGTAGTTTTGTGCATGGCTTTTGATTTAATCAGTTTATTTAGTAGAACATCAAAAATGATAATTCTTTTAATTTCTTCTGTGCATTTAGTGTTTCAGCCTCGTGAGATTGTAAATCCTATAGTTATATTTTAAGGGACAACTGTACCTTTGCATACATAATCTTTATATTTACAATGTACATTTGATGATACATAATAACCTGTGCTGAAAACCAAAATCCTGTTAGGTCATCAGTACGCCATCTTGCGTTGGGTAGCTTCAAGGGTAGGTCAGCTTCTCCAGGGCTCGAGGATGCATCTCCATAGCAGTCACTGACCTGCATCTAAGGTGTCTGACTCACAAAGCCAGCTTCTCTTCGTGAAGGAAAGCTATGTTCTACCATTGTTCTAGCAATGACCGATAGATAAAAAGTCATTGTGCTTTTCCTACCAGTGATTTGCAACTGCAGTGCAGATTTCAACATTTGGTTTCCAGGAGAAACATCACACCTTGTTACCACTGATTACTTCCCCCACAATAAGTTATTGTGCCTAACTTTATTACACCCTTTAATGAAAACCAAAACTTTTACATTGTTACAAAATTTTTCTTAATATCAGTTTTCTTTCTGAATAATTTGTTCATTTCCCATGGAAACATCCACTCTCAGGCTCATCAACCCCAGAGACAACAGCCTATTTGAACAAATTAATTTCAAACTTTTAAAGTATCAATGCCCTTTTATACAGTAGATAATTTCTTCACTAATCCTGTTTACCTTTTTTACTTTTTCTAAATCTGTGGTATCTATCAAAAACTTTTGGTCTTGACATTCTCTGTAATTGCAGAAGTCCTGTAATATGTCAAAGGCTTCATCTGAATATTTTTCTAATATTGCAGAAGGATGATTCTCTCTTTGTTCTGGAACACTGTCATTCATTTTTAAATCTCTACCAAATGCACGTACTTTTTTCAGCTCTACAAAGAAGTCTGTGGGAGACTGCCCAGCCAACTAGGAAAAGAGCTCTTCAATAATTCCCTCCAAGATAATCACTTCTTTACTTTCATAAATCAAATTAAAAAATCAAAATTATTATAAGTATATCTCATATAAATATATATATATATTTATATGATCGAACTCGGGACCTTGTGTTTGCAAAGCAGGTGGTAGAATCACTGAGCTGAATCCCCAGCCCTAGATTATATTTTTAAATTAACATTGTTGGACATTATACCAAAAAGCCAAATTAACTATTAATTTGTTTTTTCATGCACAAAACTACCTCCCAAGATTAGACTAAGTCCCTATTTAGAGTTTTAGGCCTCCATTTTGAAATGTTTTGACTTATGGAAAAAAACTGGAAAAAAGTCTAGAAGTAGAATAGTTTGCGTCCTTTGTAAGCCTGTTTAAAAAGAAAGAGAGAGGCTTTTTAAAATCAAATAATTCATATTGAAAGACAATTATCTTTCTCTTAAAACACTTTCTCCAGGCACTGTGCGTTCGCCTGTCTATACGCACTCATCAATTGATTTCTTTCTCAGTCAGAATACAGTGGTGGACTCAAGCACACAAAACGTCATCAGCAAAGGTGCCCTTGATGCTGCTTTCAGAGGTGGCAGATGAGAGATAAGGTAGTATGTGATTAGATTTTATTTGTGAGTCCTGCAGCACATCAGGAAATTTTTTAACAGTTACCATCCAGAAGACTCAGAGCTTTGTGCTAGCACGTCTTAATACCTTAAAGAATCACAGAATAGAGCTCAAAAGGGTTTTTTTTTTTCCGATTCACAGTGATGATTGACTTTGCTTTTATATGTTTGTATAAATAAACTAAACACTAAGAAAAAAAGGCTATTTTCTCCAAAATAGAGTATTAGTGTCAATTAACTGTCTACCACATACAAGATGCTATACTAATTTGGGCTGAAGATATAGCTTACTGGTTGCCTAACATGCCCAAAGCCCAGGTACACACACACAGAAAAAAGAAAAGAACAGAACAGAAAAGAAAAAGAAAATTGTACTAGGTACCCAGGGGCCAGAAAATCCCATACAAAAACCAGAGGTTTCACATTGGTGACCACTAGACACCTTAGGTCTGGCTACCACAAAACTGGATTACTAATTTCTTAACTTTTTAAAAACTAATTTATACTTAGAAGAAACTTAGAAAAATATTCTCTACACTCACCTTCTTCAAAATTAATATCTTATATTACCCTGGTATAATTATAAAAACAAAAATTAACATGGATACAATGCTGTTAATCCTCACAAACTTATTTGAATTTTACCAGCTTCCTAAATAAATATTTTCTTGGGCCAGTATATATCTTGTGAGATAGGGTCTCACTATGTAATCCGGGCTGGCTTTGAACTCACTATACAGCTATATAGCCTAGGCTGTCTTCAGACTCATGGTGATCTTCCTGCCTCAGCCTCCTGAGTACAGGGATTATAGGTGTGCAACAGCACACCCTTCAGGCCACAGTATTTTTAAACTTTTTTTTTTCTTTTTGAGACAGTAGCTGAGGTTGGCTTTGTAATTGCTATGTAACTCAGGCTACCCTCTTACTAACAATCCTGCATTCGGAGTGTGCACCGTGCTCAGCTTTGTTTTTGTTTTCTGAGACAGGTTCTCATTACATAACTTGTGCTGGCCTCAAACTTGAGATCCTCCTGTATCAGCCTCCAGAATGTTGGGATAATAAGCGTGCCTTACCATCCTTGATTATTTTTAAATCTTATAGTTAATTACTAACATTTAAAAGAATGTGCAATTTCTCATAGCATTCTAGAACTCACCCTTCTGAAGCGAGAACAGCTGGCAACACTGGCCCCGTGCTCCAAAATGGCAGCAATCACACAGAGCTGGCACAGCTGCACCCTTTAGAAAGGGCACATGCTCCCCACTTGGGCACTGTGCTTGGGCTCCCTGTCACAGTGACTGATACTTGCTGTTTGTCAGTGACTTAGCTCTATTGTTTCTTCTACGGTGGAATTAGGAGGAAAAAAATCATTGTAATAACTGTGCCTATCAAAAGCAACAAAAAATGCAAGTTTAACCTCTGTCTTAGCCATGCCCGTCACCTCACCTTCCAGTGCTGCTGGAGACAACCTGCACCCCTGCAGCTGGGACCCAAGATGGAGCTTCCTTCCTAGTCCCACAGCAGTTCCGCCTGACTTGGTCGGCTTCTGAACTCTTGCCCCACGCCACCCTTCAGGGCCGTCCCCATTTTCACTCACTGCATTTCGTGCTCAGAGACATCGCTGAGCAGTAACCTTTTACAGTTCTTGGATCCATGCCTTTTTCGCTCACAACTTACTTGCTCTTTATGGAATCCCATCCTCTCCCATTACCTCAGAAATCTTGCTCTTACTCTTTTCTATCTCCCTTCACTTCCTCAAGTCTCACTCTCTCCTGGCCCTTTTCCTTCCACATAACAATTATGATGAAGTCTACCTCGGCTTTCAAATGAAATCAAGCAAACAAATATCCTCTTTCAATCCCACTTTCCACCCTACCAACTCTCCTGTATCTCACACAGCCAAACTAAATGAACTTGTGTCCATGGTGAATGTCTCCACTTCCCCACCTTCGACCTACTCCTTAAGCCAGCACCTTTAAACAATACCCTCAGCCCAGGATAGTGGTACACACCTGTAATCCCAGCACTCAGGAGGCTGAGCCAGGATGATTCCAAATTCTAGGCCAAGCTGGGTTACATAGTGAGTTCAGGGCCAGACTAGACTACAAAGTGACAGACCCTGTATCAAAACACCAAAACTAAAACTAAGCAGACCATAAAAAAAAATAAATAAACTGGTATAGTGGCACATGCCTGTAATCCCAGTGCTATGGGAGGCTGACACAGGAGGATCTCAAGTTTGAGCCCAGCCTAGGAAACTTAGAAATTTAGAGACACCCTGTCTCAATTTTTTAAAATAGTTTTTTCTTTGGAGGTCTGAGGATGTAGCTCAGTGCAAAGATCCTGGGTTTTATCTCCAGTACTGCAAATACAATACAAAACAAAACAAAAACAAAAACTCTGAAAAAACCAATGAAAAAATTTGAAACTGTAATGGAGGCAGACTTCCTCTTAGAAACGCTCTCTTCCCTTGGCTTCTCCAATACAACGGTCTTAGAATTCAATTCCTCTTTCCTTTCTAGGGCTCAGGTCTGCAGGCTCCTCTCTTTACTCTACCATTTCTGGTGGGCAATTTCCTTGACCCCAGAGCGGCTGGCTGTCCCTACCCTCTCTGGCACTCAGCATGTCCATCGCTGTGACCCTGGAGAGTAGGAGTGTCTTTCCTCTCTGCCTCTTCCTAGCCTATGACTCCTTCAGAACAGGAGCAGTGTTTTATTTCTGTACCAGCCTCCCTGTCCAAGACACCCACAGAGCTTGGCACAGCAGACTTTCTGTTGGGGAAGTAAATGTCAGCAGACTCGTCTGAGCCCTGCATGGAAACAGTATCCTCAGTTACACAGTATTAAGGACATCAGCTTTACATTCATGAGCAGAAAGTGTGCTTGGTGCTGCTTTAACATCTGGTTTTGGAGTCAGGTATCTTGGATTTCCAGTACATATCAGTCCCTTTTTACCAGGAGTTTGATCTTGAGTAAGACTCCATGAGCCTCAGTTTCCTTATTGTCAAATGGAAACATTATGGTACTTGCTTAAGACAGTCAAATTTTAAACATTAAAACACAGGTAAAGTCTTAAGAGGGCACCCTAGCTTATGGCAGGTAGCAACACTTACTGTTACCAACAAATACAAATTTAATGTTATTGTTACTTAAACATCAGGTAAATGCCTCCAAAAATTTATTGACTAGATAAGGAAAATACTGGGTGTCCATCCTGATCACCAGGAAAATAACCAAGTATCTGCTGTCTTCCTGCCACCATTTGTGAGGACTATTCCATTTGATCATGAAATATTTTACTAAGCCCTCACTAGCCAACTCTCCCCTTTAAACTCTGTCCTGACGCTTGTCTAGCACCTACAAAGGGCCAGTAACTGAAAATCAAATTAAAATGCCAAAGCTCCAACATTCCACAGGCTCGCCTCAAAAGTGAAAGGAAAATCAAGAACCTAGCAGAAAAGCAGAAGGGAAGTGAAGGCAAGCAAAGACGGCGCGGTGCCAGCCCTCAGGGTCACCCTCCCCAGGGACAGCGCACCGGTAGAGGCGCCTGGGGCTCACCTGCAACCACTTTTGTGCTGGGCCCTGACCATCCCGCGGGCAAGCAGGAACCGACCTCTACGCAGTGCTTGCTAACCGAGCGGCCCCCTAACGCCCCGGATCTGCCACCGCCCGACCCTCCCGCCCGGCAGTCAGCCGC